CCGAAAGCCACATTTTATGATTGCTTACACTCCATACAGTTGCACGTTAATTGGATCCAGCGTAAACACACAATATTGTGTTTGTTTCTCCAAAAACATCAAATTTAGCAATCTGCTTCCCCATCCGTCCTGATCAGAGCCATCCCTGTGCACCAGCATCACGAGTCGGGTGCGGTTGAGTTCAGCGCCGGAGTTGCTTTCTCTCTCGGCTTCCCTCAGCACAGAGTCTCATTTCTGGAGCAAAGACCTCCATTTCCTGCTCTGGCGCCATGACATGCGGCTGACAGCAGCTTTAATAGGCCTCTTGAAGGGACCCAGTTGCGCTCAATGCTTCCTCTAGCATGTGAAAAGAAAAAAAAAAGCGCACATACCACACTGTACACAGACTGTACAGTGCACAGAGTTTGGAAAAGCACAGTTTGGTGCTTTTTGTGGAAGGTAATTCAAGATGAATGACACAACACTGAACACTGTGAACCTTCAGAAATATGCCACCCTCCTCCAGCGCTAAGGACCAGCTCTGTCTCACCTCTGAGAGGCTGTAATGAGATGTTGGACAGAAACGCGATGGGTCAGATCGCTTTGGCTTCAAAAGAAGACAACAAGAGCTGTTTACAATATTCTGATAAATGCTTGCCCAAATTTTTCTACCATCTCCCTTTTGTTGTTTGAGTGAGTAAAGATAAAAAGTCCTCCTGACGTAGAATAAATCAGTGCAGCTTTGATCAGTCTAAGTCATTTAGATTTTAAACCTGAGGTGATCAAATGCAGTCCAGAGTTGGTTAAAATATCCATCTAGTTATACGGTGATGGGAAGCTAGAAATCAGATGCTAGCTTCATTGTCATTAGAAGTCTGTTGGGAGGCTAAAATGCTGCTACACCAGCGATCACTTGGTCAAAAACAAACAATCATAGGCAGGAGGAAGGTCTTAGTGCTGTCAGTCAAACTTGTGTATATGCTGCTCAGTGCCCTGACAATGGAGAAACAAATTACTGTTCCAGGAAACCTGTTAATTTGCCGTCATCGGTGGCCATGGTAACCAACCAGAGGATTCACAGCAGGTTCTGCTGACAGGGAGAAGCTGTAGCGTAGCAGAGAGCAAGCGTGTGAGTGATGCATACACAAGCCTGATGGGCAACGCTAACACCCTCCTCCTCCTGGCTCTGATTGGTCGTTTCTCACTGCTCAATGAGAGCACTGGAAGCAGACAAAAGAGTTCAGATTTTCACACATTGTCTCTTACCATAGTGTCACAACAAAGTGACAATTTTAACAAATGTGTAAAAATAAATAAATATATATATATATATAACTACTACGCTACTTACATAGTGTCGCTTTAAAGTGGTGGAAACTTCTGCCATAATTTAACAACCAAAAGGCATCAGTAAGCACAATGACCAGTCCTTATTAGTTGACTAATTAAGCACAAAAGGGCAACTAAATAACTATTTCCTCCCTTGTTTCAAAATAAGAGTCTCAAACTCATGTTCATATCTAGGGCTCATAATAATATTCTCCTTTCAGCAAAGTCATGGGTAGATAATGGTTTTTGTTTAGGGGTTGCAGCCAAAAACCTTAGAGGTCACAACAAAGTTAATAAGTCAAGAGTAAAGGCTTAAGGAACTAGGCTTTCTAACACTGCAGAGAACATGCTCTTTGTGTGCAGAGAGGTCCAAAAGGTAACACGAGCCCAGCTCTGCAGTGAAGTAATTTCTAACAAATGAGTCCCTCCAGATCTCCCCCCTTTCAACTCTCTTTGTCTCCGTTGCCCCACGCTGACGGCGTCTGATGCCAAAGCTGCACGGCAAACAGAGCTTTCTGAAACGACGATGCTGTTTGCTGACTGTGGCACGCTTAAGGATCAAATAGACGTCCTCCAAGATGTGCTCAGACAGACATGTTTGGGATGGATGAATGAAAGAGGAGATGGGGAAAAAGGAACATGCTCAGCAGCTCGCCGTTTAAAACAGCCTCTAACGTCTTGTTTTTCCTCTCCCCTTCCCCGTCCACCCGCAGAAACGAGCGAGGCAAAAGATCCCGAACATTGTTTGGCAACTCAGACGAGCGCGACTTGGAGAAGTATTCGATTTCACAACGCTTAAAAAGAAAAATGTGTGGTGAGATTGTGTTTGAAGAGTCCCCGAGGGCAAGTGGTTGGCTGGAACTCGAGGTGGGGGAGAGGCCCCGTTGGGGTTGAACGTACCGGCAGAAACACCTTCCAGAGACGCAGCGCAGATCGATTATTCGAGCATGAGGTAAATGTCAAGAAGTTAGTATGGTGTTAACTTTATTCAGAATCCTACATTAGCAGTCAATAACGAGAACCTCTTTGGAGCAGTCGGGGCATTTTGGGGGTTTGGCTGGCCTGTACTGCATCTTTGGCTCGGCGCTGAGTTCCTCTGGATCAGACGTAGTATCCAATGGTTTTCCCACCACAACAACAACATCAGCAGCCTGTCATTCTGTGAGCCTGTTTTTTCTTGATGAGAGGGACCACAGTGCTCTTCACAGAGCAGTCCCATGTCTAAATAAAACATATCTACAGGGACGTTTTGAAGCCTCGTCCGACACAAACGGACCATTAAATTCTCAACAATCGTTTCCTTTCTACTATCGTCAGTCTTTCCCCTTGTCGTATCTGTTTTGGTGCTGTTTCCTCTGAGCTTCATTATTCACATTTCACATCACTTGGTCAGCCTCCTGCCTGTTTTTCTATTCTCCGGTCACTCTTTCATTTGAGCTTCATGTTTTTCATCAGACAGATTAGGTCCACGCCCTTGTTTATTGGTGTATGAGCTCACCCTCGCTGTAAGAGTGGCCAGTGGCCTATGAAGGATCTTGTGATCTATTGCTTGTTGGACCAGAGCCCCATTCAGCCACACGGCGCTCCTGACTACTTAGACCTGCAGAATCACAAAAACAGGCCGCTGCACCTCAACTTTGCCCCGAATTGTGGCTCCGTAAGCATTTGTGCAGAAGTGCGCAGTGTTTGGGACACAGAGGGTTTCCAAGAAAATTAAACAGACGAAGGAAACCAAGCGGAGCTGTAAAATTAGCAAATGGAACAATGATGTCATGCACAAGTCGAAGGTTTATATAATTGTATTTTGTTGAATTTATCGAAATAAACATTTAATCTACATGAACGTTTGCCTGTTACTTTATTACATGAACTGATTTCAACCTCAGTCTATACATGGCAAGCCGTAGTGCTTACGGTAAGTTGCATTGTGGGAAATTAGGTCTGAAAAATGACTTTTCTCTGTTAAGTTGAAATTTAATCGACTGTTTTTTCTTCTTGTCTTTTTAAGGGCAGTAACAGTTCAAATTCAAGCAAAAGTGATCGAAAAGACGAAAAGATGTCAACCTCTTAACCCTGATGTCTAAATATGTTTACAAAGTTTTTCTGGCAGATGAAATGAACTAACCAGTCCTGTCTGTCACTGTCTTAGTTTAGGCTAAATTCAGTCAGCACACACAGAGTAAAACATGTTTGATTTTTAATGTATTTTTGCAGCCTAAAAACATAGATTATGCAACTTGCTTTAGCCAAAAATATGTTTATGGGCATCCAATGTTTGAAAGGTTCGTAACACAAGATGTTGTCATAGCATTTAAAGTATTTTAGCCCAACAAATATTACATCTGAGGGGTCTTTTGTTTTTGCGATGCTACACACATTGATATATTAGCATTTCGCGTAATTAGCAACTGTAACGAATCAGTTTCTGTGTCTCCCACCAAGAGAGTGTAGACCTTTGCCTTCTCTGCCATTTCTAAAAGGCTGACGACATTTCCACATTCAATATTTTCCATAATGACAAAGACTAAAAACTCCACAGAATTAAAGAACGACTTTTCTCTGATGCATTCAGCCTCACCGTTGAAAGTCTGGTGCTAACAAGGTTGTTTCTAATAAAAAACTTCAAATAGCTATTTGTGTAAATGGTTTAGTTTTTAAACACCATGTCATAATTCAGCGTCCGCCAAAGCCTTTTGTCCGGCGTGTTCACTGAGCAGGATGATCAGATATAAAGGTCAGATGAGAAACACTTGTTTTTGGTTTAGACTCTTTGATTTACAGTCAATAACTTGTAAGGTCATCATTTGAATATTTCGATAGATCAGTCTACGTTTTGCAGGCTGGTCAATCGGTCATTAAGCATTTTCTGCATGTTTTCATCGTGGAAGACAAAACTATGGAAATCTTTGGATTTGAGCTTAGCAAAAGATCCGAGTCCTTCATGAGCTTGTTTGCACCGTTTTGTGTTAACAGTTGCTGTTGGATTCACGTGTTTTATTGAGATCTGACCATGGAAATCAGCATTTTAATGGCATATCCATTTTAAGTTAATAATAACAAAATAAGTCTGCCACTTGGTGGTATTCCACGAGAGAATGGACCGCTCATAGAGCATCTTACAAGGGAAATAACAGTGTCTCTGGGTTGCTATTGACTCAGTTGGTGTTGGAATTTGCAAACAACATTCCCATTCTCTACAAATCCAAGAAATCATGGAGAAAACGGCCTGTGGGATTCTAGGGGAGGCAATTAAAGTGTCCAAGGACTGAGCTGGCTGTGGAGTGCGGCTCTGTTTTACTCTGCAGCAACACCTGCAACAACATGACCTTCACGAAAAGTTATTGGAAGAAAACATTTCCTGTTTCCTTACAAATGAATATCTATTAAAAAAAGGGGAGGGGGGGACAGATTTTGGAAATAAGATCCTTTGGATTGATTCAGACTGAATAAGACATCTTGGCCAAAATTAACAGATGTATGTTTATAGGAGACGTTGCCCAGATTTGTGTGCAAGACTGAATTTGTAATGAAATCTGTGACCTGGTTTTACCGACAAGGTTTTGACAGGGGCAGCCTTAACTTTGCTGCGCTCACATTTCCACGATGACCACATTGTTAACGTGAAACATATCTGTGTGTGTGTGTGTGTGTGTGTGTGTGTGTGTGTGTGTGTGTGTTTCCCCGTGTCCCAGGCTCTTGGAGACAGCGACTTCCCGGCCGTGCTGAGGCAGCTGCTGCCCTTAATGAAGCCCCGCGGAGGCGAGGACAGCTCGTCATCAGGGTCGAGGCTCGGACAGGACGAGTGCGGGCCGGACGAGCTGATCCTCCTCCTGATCTATCTGTACACCCTGGCTGAGGAGGCGCAGGACTCCGCTGACGGCGGGGAGGAGGAGCTGGAGAAGCTGGAGAAGCTGGAGCGCGAGCTGATAGGAGCGCTCACGCTGGTCGTCACCCGGGAGACGGAGCTCAGCCCGCTGCTCCAGAGCCTCACCGGTGAGAGAGCGCTCCCGCTGCCACACGTGGTTTGCCCAGGTGTTGGCAGCTGGGTGTGTTTCCTCTGTCTCTGTCTTCAGTGCTGCTAATGGGAGGATTTCTATCAGTGTCTTCACACTCCATCCTTCTCCTCAGCTCCTCGTGTCACGCCTCTTGGGCCAAAAACACGCACACTTCTACAAGCTACACAATATAAGTTAGTTGTTGGAGCATTGATAGCTTTAAAGTCTAAGCCCATACCCTGTAGCTGTAAGACATGCTGACACTAAAGCTGCTGTGTGTGACTTTTTATTATTATTCAAACTGTCTCCATGTCGTGACAGAATGTTATGAGGCAGATAATCTGGGAAAAGATCAATCTCCTCCACCTCTTCTCTGAGCTAGTATTGCCATCTGAAGAAAAGCACCAAAAACAACCAATCAGGGCCAGGAGGAGGGTCTTAGCGATGTCAATCAATGCTACTACATGTGCTAATGTCGAATAAACAATTTAACATTACGGGAAAAGAGTTTATCAGCTGTCATCTGTGGTTGTGCTAACTCATGCAACATGCTATGCTATGCTAGCAGCAGCATACGGTAGTGTTAGAGTTGGTAGGACTGGTTGTTTCTAGTTAGCACTGGGAGCACTGGGAGAAGGCAGAGGGGGTCCTTAATTTCACAGACTATCTGACTCTAACCGTACTGTCGCGACATGGTGACAGTTTCAATAAATAAAAGAGTTACACACTGCAGATTTACGTCTTCTGCCTTCAAGTTGCTCAATAATAAACCATTAACTACTTGTCAATGGTTTATTATTGGTATATTACCAACTTCATTTTGTTTGTTGTTAGGTATTAAGCTGTAAACCAACACAAAGTAGCACATTTCAGTCTCTTCCAGCCTTGTTTATAAGTAGACAGTAAAAACCTTTTGCCCATTCTGTTCTAAAATAATTCAGGTTAGATTCGGGCCTTGGCACAGATTCTCTGTTCGATTTAGGTCTGTTTTGGGGGGGTATTGTTCATGGGTTCAAGTCCCAAAGTCTTTTTTATGAAGTGCATGACAGATAGATTTTCTATGGATATATTCTCCTACCTGAGTTATATGCATTTTTGCATCTCCTCCAGACTTGGAAAATGGCTTTATAACTTAACCGTTTGTTCAGGATGCATTCCCACCAGCCATGTGTGGCCATAGTCTGTTTGCCTAGAAAGTCAGGTGTGTTTAGGGAAGGGTTAATTACACAATTGATCTCTGAAGCAGACCAAATAAAAAAGCAAATGGAACAAATGTTGCGATTTTAGTCCCCAATCAAACCGAGTCTACCAAACTATCGGGTGGGAAAACACCCCAAGCTTCTCCACAACTTTCTCCCTGACCTTCCTGCTAAAAATGCAAATCACACAATTTCAATTTTTCAAGTCGCGTATAATTTTCCTTCCATTCATAATTAAAAACAAAAACTGTAAACAAATTGGAAAAGAGCTCAGTGGGTCTGGGTTGTTTTGCAAGGCCCTGTATTTGTTGACCAAGCGGCTGGTGAACTGCAGTGCAGATCAAGGCCTGGGCCTAAGATGAATGGTCCGTCTGCCTCAGCACCACAGCCAGCGCACCTCCCTCAGAGTAATAGCATCTTTAACCTTGAGCCTCTAACATAAGCTCTCCTCCCCCAGTCGTAAAGTTCACAATTAATCCCACTTTTGGTTTGGGCTTGCACCATACCTTAGCACAAGCCGTGAAATAGCACACTGCGGTTTCCTCTTATATCACATCTGGGGTCACGTTGTATATAGGGGGTTTGGTAAATCTTCATAGTGCGCTAATAGAGACTGCTGACCTCTCTCTATCCCACTTTTCTGTCCTATGAGAAGTCTCTGCCTCTTCCTGTTCCACTTGGCTGGGTGCAGTTGGTCGAGGGGCTTTGGGAGGCAGGGGGGAGTGAGGTGTGGGGTGGCGCTCGTGGCAAGTTCAAGCTGAGAGTTGTGGTTCATGTAAGAAAAAAAGAAAAAACCCTGACTTTGTTATAAACACTTTCTTGGAAGGAAGCCCGCGACGGGGTGCCAGGTGCATTTAAGGCAGAATAAAGACAACATGTCAGGGGAAACCTGGCAGTTTGTGCACTTTTTAAGATTCAAGTGTGTGTTTTGTTGCGTGCGTGCGTGTGTGTGTGTGTGTGTGGATGGTTTTATAGCGGCCGACAAAGCACTTTGGCTTGAGTAACATGAGGAGGAGGTCGTCTGTCTCAGCATCCAGAGCAAAACATTGATTGTGACATTCCCCCCAATTAAAGGAGTCGAATAAAAACCAGACGCCGAACAGAGGTTGGTCACCATGAGAACGGGCGCTCTCGCGCAAATTCCCCCCCGCTTTTCCCATTTAGCGAGCGGCTCGAGTTTTAAGCGCACTGTGGATGAACTGTGGGTTGCAAACGGGGTGCAGAATCACCAGAAAAATATACAGAGAGGACAAAATACCAGAGGACAAATGGGAACTTGAGAATATAGGAAAGTAAGCATGACAGTGCAACCCTCACCGTGTCTGATAAACATCTGCGTCTGAGAACTTAGGAAATGATGTTCTTCAGACTTCCAGGCTCTGTCGTTTTTGTTTGCTCAGAGAACTGGAGAAGCTTTGTCTAGTTTACGTGTTTAAAAGCAACGTTCATGGCGTTTTTTTTTTTTCGTAACTAATGCCAAAGTGTGGGATAATTTCACAAAGCAGTTTCCCACTGGAAGGAGGAGAATCAGGTTCTGGAAATGCCCAAGTCTTAACCAAAACACGTTAATCGAAGTTAAAAATACATCCAACCTGTATTGTCATGCTTGGTTATAAAATACACTTCTTTTCAAAACAAAAGTGCTCACATCTTGATTTTATTGAGCTGGGTTTAATAAAAACAACATGGCTTTTTGGGTCCTATTGACTATTTCGCTCTGTAGTGCGCTATACTCACATCAAACGACGAATTAATCGGGTAATCAATTGATCTGGGTTCTGTTTTTATTGATGTCACATGTGAAGTAATCACACACTCTTTTAAGAGCAACAACAGAATATGAAGCAAAGTTACGCTAATCTGTTTAGAGACATAATTTGTCAAGATATCAGAAATAAATGGTCTAAAATCTCTGGTATGCTTTTTTTCTTCATTTTTTCAGGTGGTGTTTTTGTTTTTTACACAACCTGCAAGACACAAATAACGCTGATCTTGTAGAATGCAGCACTGCTTCCTCTGCTTGTGATTTCCCTAAATGCGGTGATAATGTCTGATGTTGGTTTGCTATTTGCTTGATTGAACTATTCTAGAAGTAGATCGTCTTTTTGCACTCTCCAATAACTTCATTAAATCTCCAAAGCATCTAACGGCGATGTCTTTTCATATTTGCTGTTTATTTTTGAAATAACATTTTTACCTCACTGTGGGCGTGCTTGCTGTAAGAAACCTTGGTCTTGCCAACAGTGATCAGCTTTTATTAGCATTTTTTTTATTATTATTTAGCATTACTCCTGACAGCAGTGCAGTGTGTCGTCAGGCAGGTCAATACATGCTGTAAGATTCCCCTGAGACCTCAAACCAAATATTTAACAGTAGTGATTTTTGTGTCGAGCCTTTCAGCCGGGGAACGTTATGTATATCCCAGATAGCACAGAATGATTGAAACAACTTTGAATCAATGTCAGCCAGAAACATTGAATCAACGTTGAAAGCTGACATTGAATAAAAACATTGAAAGTGGTCGGTGACTTGTATGTTGAATCAACGTTAGGGTTTCAACCATAACTGACATTATATCAATGTTGATTCAACCATGATCTGAATGTGGATCTACATGCAGATTTGGGTTGATTCTACATTGAATGAAAGGTAAGGATTTATGTACATTTTTAGGTCTGATAGGTCTACATCATAACATGCCACTAAAAGTTTCTTCACTGATGTTAAACACTATATTATTGGCAGATGATGGGTAAACTGTCTACACAAGGTTGAAAATGACAACATGGGTTTGATATAACATTTTATTTAAGAAAAGAGGGACAGATCTTTAAACATATTTGACTCCTTTTTGACTGTCAAAACAACAGTATGTTGTCCACAGAAGAACAGAGTCCATGAAGTTAAGCTTTGCACTGTATGAACTGGGAAACGGTACAAGTTGTGGTAACCCCAGTTTGACTCTGGTTGGCGTCACTTTGATTCCTTGCGATGTTTTCCTCTCGTTCTGGCGCGTAATGAAGCCACTTCTTGACAGTTTTGCTGCAGTCCTCAAGAGTCAGCTTTCGGTCAAACTGCAGAGCAACAGCTGAAAAACACAAAAATAAAAGTGAGGAAGGTGCCGGTTAGAAAGATGATAAACATTTGAAAAGTTCTGAAAGACATTGAAAGATTAAACAGTGGTTACAGGTCTGAGAACAAATACAAACCATATAGTTCCCCATGTACACTCACTGTTAAATTAATATTTATCTTAATGTTTACGTATACAACTACATTTACCTATCAAGCTGCAGTACAGTGTAGGATTTATGATGCTGCACTCGTGTTAAAATGAGGGAATCAATATTTAAAATAAAGGGCTGTTTATCAGAAAACCTAACGATAAAACTCAGGGAGGATCAGGGTTTATTTAACACACCAGAGAAATAAATAGAGCAAAAGGTGATTTATACTGTAGTTGGAAAAATTATTTATAATTTATACAGAATAAACTTCCATCAAATAGCTGGTTCAATCTTCCATCAACTACAAATATTTCCAAATAAGTTGATTAAATTCCTTAAAAAGTGTCTATATGCTGATAAAGATCCCACACAAGTAACAATAGTCCAGTTCAGTTTAACCAGTTACCAATCCAAGGATCAACAGACTGAATCAGTCATTAGCAGGTTTAGTTCAGTGTTTCACCTGCCTTACATGTTAAGTGTTTCCCTTCTGCCTCACCTGGATTGAATCTGTGGATGATTAACAACCTTCTGCACTTCTTGATGGCTGCAGACGGTCATGTAATCATCCA